GCAGCCCGTACCTCTGCTTTCCCCCACCTATCCTCTCCTCCCTTCACCGACCTCCTAACCTATCAGACATCCTTACAGAGTCTCATACTTTCTGCTTTGACAACCTGTTTTCCTTGACGTGAAACGCATATATATCCTTCACTTGATCTAACTCCCTTTACATTAGCCTTACCCGAATGAACCTGAACCATTCACACTCGTCAATTCCTTTGCCCAAGTTTGGTGAAGTTAGTGATTAGTTGCCACTCTTCACTACGATTATACTATAGTGCTTACATGACTTTTATTTGACAATGACATTATTTGCTTTTACCCATTAAACCATCGTCCCAGCCTTGTGAGAGAGATGTAGATGAGACAGAGGGAACAAAGAGTCCAGAGAAACAGGGAGGAGGGAGAGAAGAAAAAGATACAGTAAAGAGACTGGGTACGAGAAAAAAGCCTCGAAGAAGAGAGAGAGAGATCTCTATCTGTATAGGATTTATCTTTTTATCTATATCTATTTAAATCATCGGCCTATACATGTAGGCTATAAGTAATGTATATGTATACATAACATTTGATCTTATATTTATTACATATATATATGTATATATACTCTAAATATTTATGTATTGTACATGTGTATGTATGCATAAATACATATATATCAATTACTGTATATATAGCACTTCGTTTATATACATATATACGTATATATATTCCTAATCATAGATAAAATAATAATGGGGTATATACATTTACATAAAAACATAAATATATAAATAATTCAATATATACATTATATACATATATATATAGAATCTATATATAAGTAGTTATAATATATTCATTTATACCCATATATATATATATTTATATTATATATATATATATATATATATATATATATCTATATGCGTATGGTACATTTGCTTGTGTCTATGTCGTATATAACATTTATATAGTAAATAAATATATAAGATTTATCTATATTTACCAAACATATCCAGATAAACATTTATATCCACACAAGTATACACTTCCATCTGAATATGTATACATATTTATATATATAAGATGCATATATCTAGTGAGAGAATAGATATATGTATATATGACATAATTCATAAAAAAAGAGGGGGGAAGAGGTAGAGAGCACCACAGGGTTCTCCTTACTCTTGTCCCTCGGCTCTTGTGGGTCTCTCACCATAATAAAGGGTCTCCTTTCTCTCTCATCTGGTGGTGGGGGGTGGGTAAGACCAAAGAGGCGTGTTGCTAGCCGCAGCGAAGACCCTCCCTTTCTCTCGTCCTCAGACCTTTGTGGTCTCTTCCTCTCTTCTGTCTGGCTTTGTCTTTCTGCCACTATTATCTAGCTTTGTCTCTATGTTATGTATATATACATATACCTCGATATGGTATCTGTATAACAATACACTATATATATGGTAATATATGTATGTGTGTATGTTTATATGGATATATGTAGATGTAAATATTTTTATATACAATGTATACATTGTCATATTTTTATTACATTTAATGTATATACACATTTTACACACAATATGGATGATATATAAACATACATTTATACATATATAGTACATTTGTATAAATACATTTATATATATACACATCTATTTATATATGCACATTATACATCTCTTCTCTATCTCTATATAAATTATTTGAATTCGCCGCCATGGCAAAGTGGTAGCGTGGTTGATTAAGAAAAGTACCTCCAATCAGGGAGGGGTTTCTACTACCAAATAACGCCTCGACAATAATTTCTAGATCCATCAGTGTAATGATGGTTAGTTCAACAAATAAATATGTATAGTATGTACATGTAGTATGTATATATAACCAAAGTACGCATATTAAACTATGTTATGAATATTTTATACATATATTAATATATATGTTATACTATATGTTATACCATATACATAAATGTGTATATAAGTGTGTGACGTAATGTGTGCACAAACATGAAAAAGAAACGAGCACAATAAGAGATGAATATGAATCGTAACGTTTTCGAACCCTTCCTGAGTTTCCTCTTCAGACGAATAATAAACCGAAATGGATACCAATAAGTACATCTATATATATATCATCTATATATATAGATATTATATATATATATATATATATATATATATATATATGTGTGTGTGTGAATATATACATGTGCTATGTATATTTACATATATACATATATGTAAATATACATATGTATATATGTATGAGTATATACATATATGAATTAATATTACACATATAACATAAATATGTATACAAACATTCTTATACATATTTATACACATATCCGTATGAATGTATTGACGCACAAATATATAAACATGAATATATATACAAATGCTGTGTAAAGATATACATCTATACATATATACAGTGCATATATATTATATATATAGCTATATATATATATATATATATAGATATTATTATAGATATGTAAGTATATTTATAAACATGTATATTTATACCATATGTATTATTATATTATGCACACAACACACATATTTATATACAGTATAAATGTGTCGCGTTATCTCATCCTCATTCTTGTGGGTCGATCTCTACTTTGTCTCTTTCTCTTCTCCTTTTCTTTCTCTGTATTCTGTCTCTTGTTTTCTCTCGTTCCTCTCTCCTCACACTCTCCATCTGTCTCATATGTGTCCTCACTCTTTCTGTACCCAAAAGGTCTGAGGTACTTGTCTACCACCGCTTTCCACCATTTTGTTAGGCTAAACTGTGGTTAAACGCACGGTCCGTTTGTATGTACAATATACATAGTATGTAGATATATTGTAGTATATATTTATATTTATCATAGAAATGTACGTATTTATATATATCTACATATATATTATATATATATATTAATATATAATATATATATATAGAATATATACATATATATATATATATATATATAAAGTATATATGTATGTATGTATATTATACATATGCATATTATATTGTAAGCGTTGGAGATGCTAGGAGCGCGCTGCAGACAGGCTTGGCCTGTCTGCCTGTCTCTCCGCCCTACGCACGTGCACTTTTATGCGGCGGTTTTCTAGAGGGCAAGATTTATTCTATGCGAAAGTGAAAGCCGGGCGAACATTTGTGGTCCTGCGCCAAGAGGGCAGCTGCTTTGGACTGAGTTTGAAGTGTACAGTCTGCTGAGTATTGTTGACATCGGTCGGCCACGCTCAAGGCTCGTCCACGAGCAGTTGCACCTTGAAATACTGCAGTAGCATAGGGAACAGGCTCGGTCCGGTATCAACAACCGTTTCCGGTGATCCGATTGGCCTAGGGTTGTCGCGTGCCAGGGTACGGTTGGGGCGGAGGTTCGCACTGAGGTGTCAACAATCAGTGGCGAAGTAGGGGCACTTGTCCTTTAAAAGGCTGAAATATAAGTACCGAGACAGTAAAAGGGTTAAAGTGGAGGTAATAATGTGTTTGTCATCACCTTACTAGTTGCAAAGAAAATGGAGTCTAATAAGAAACCTATTTGTCACAAGAAGGGAACATCTTCAAGTAATGGGTGTTAATTACTTGGATTTGTCAGGATTAGTTCATAAGAATACCATCATACCGAAGAGAGAAAAATAATTGGACAAGAATTCCATATCTTTGGCTAATAGGCAGGATATATGCTTCGACACATAGGCAGCTGGGCCTGAACTTAATTCAACTGCGCTCTCGGGCGCAGTTCTTGGCGCTTCAATCGGATAAAGCGTGCGGTGGCACAAGGTTCAACTTCGTTTACGGCTATGACTTAATATTAACTTGCGGTGATAATAACTATGTAACTAATATGAAGTATGGGGTCTGTTGTGCGTTACCAGCTTTACAACTATTGCAACAGAATAGACTTCCATCAGTCAGTACATGTTACAACATATTCACCAAGTTCCTTAAACTAAAGAACTAAATTCTAGCATGATGAGGATAAGATATTGAATTTCAAGAGGACGTCCTGAAAGCGATTTGGGATGGCACTTAGTAAAATTCACAATCTAGAGTGAATTCTGTGTAGGGGTTGGTCCGGATAGGTGGGTTTTGGCTAAGGCGGGTAATCGACATGTATCTTACACTTGTGTGAAAAAGCGTGATAATTTATAAGAAAATACAGGTATTTGAAAGACAGAACAATATGCACACTCGTAGAGGAGTTCAAGTGAAAGTGAGGTACGTGTGTACGGTGAAAACAATACATTACAACGAAAATCGTATGGTCATTAATATGAATAACATAACGTGGAACAAATCGAACATGTCTTACATAGTCATTTGTTCTGGTCTAAAATAAAAGTAATGCACTGCAATGTGAGGACAGCAATAATCAATATTTGGTAAAATATCAATAGGAGAAAAATATCGTAGTATTAAGAAGATATGGTTATGGAAGAGGAATGCGGTGTGAGGTGTAGGTGTGTGTCAACTAGGTTTGATCTCTTAGGTGTGTGACTTCGTTTGTTGTGTTAAAAACAATGTTTGACAGTGAGAAGTTAATTATTACAGAGTAGTAGTGTATACTAGTGCTGGCGTGTACTTTGAATTTGAAAGAAGGCACTCGTATTTAAGGTTTGGGTGGGTATAGGAGACAGTAGTTAATCTGGCACTGATAGTCACACTACTTTTAATAGTAGCTAGGGAACATTGGTGGTGCTTGAATAGAATGGCGGCTCCATGGTTGTGCTGACGAAGGTTTCGTGAGACTTGAGAAGTGATAATTAGCCGGATTGGCGAGTGTGGTGGTATAGAGTGGTGAGGGACATATCGTTTAGCGACTTCGTCAGGAGGTAGCACGACGCGAGGGTCAGCACAAAGTAGTAGGGTAGACATAGTGTGGACATAGTGTGATCTAAGAAGCACTTGTAGCGATGTCTAGGCGTTAAAAAGAGGGCCGAGGAGGCCTTCGATAGGAGTAGTTTGGTGGCAGATGTGTGGATCGCAACCGGCGTCGGTGAGGATTGTGGAAGGTAGGTAAATTACCGTCGGCGTTTGTGAGGCTCTTTGATCACTGCTGCCATCAGATGTAAGCTTAGAGAGATGTTGGGAGCACCGCTTTCACCAGATGTAAGTTGTAGAAGACCACTGCAAAGCCACCAGGTTGTAACGAGTGACTACCAAGCAGACCGATGTGAAATGTAAGAGAGATGGTCTTGGGCGGTCAAATGAAAGGGGTCTTAGCTTGCTGGGTTTATTTTAAAATGATAGATACACACACACAATATATATAGTAAACCTAGCTATTATAATTATATAGACTATATATATATATATATATATATATCTATATAATATATATATATATAAAGGCTATATCACAAACACAGTAACGGGTCCACAAAAATTAAAAGGAAAACAGCCACAGTAAAGAAATGAATATGATCGTAATATTTACGAACTCTCACAAGTTTTCTCTTCATACAGATAATAACACGAAACCATTTTTTTCTTATTCTCCCTGCTGTGAATTAGCCTACTTGGCTATTTCAAGATCAATGGGAGGATCATACCGGAAAAGGCGTTCGACGGGGCGCAAGCGGTGGAGCCGAACAATGGCGAAGAGGGTTATCGGTGACCCCTCGGTCTCTGGTTATTTTGTCGGAGCGATTAAAGAACATACTGAGCCGCCCCCCAGCAAATTCCAGCCTCGGCTCTTACGCGTACCGCGGCGCATCGGTGTCCACCCCTCGTTGCTGACCATGCTATTGCTTGCTTGCATAAGCTTCGTGCCCCTCTAGCCTATTCTTTCCTCTATGGATTTTTCGCCATTCGATAACTCTCTGCACACTGGTAAATTGGACCCCATCTCTGGAGCGTGCTCGTTACGTGGGCAGACCTTTACCTCCCACGGGGAGGGTGTGTCTGGAGGCCTTAAGCGTGCCTGCCGTACGATGTGCAGAGCGTTGCCATTCTATTTGCTAGGGACTGTCTAGCAGACCATCTAATGCTGCACTCTAGTTTTTTTCGTTTGGGAATGGATAGGCAGGTTGGAGCCCTCCCTTTGTCAGGCCATCAGCCTGGTTCTGGTCGAATAGCTGCTTGCATAACAGAACAGACGCCTTCCGTCCCGCCCTGAACCGCCTCGAAAGTAGCTTCTTTCCCTCACTGTGGTCAATAACCTTTGGGTAGCCTGTTTTCTGAGGGTTGAAGGAACTTCCTTGAACAGGTACAAGGACGTCCCTCTTCCTCACTGAGTGAAACAGCCCTTTGGTGGCTGCGTCATAGGGAAGAGGAATTTACTTTGAAAAGGTACAGGTACTCTCCTCCTCACTGAGGGTGAAACAACCTTTGGGTGGTTGTTTCAGAGGGATGAGAGAACCGCCTGGAAAAGTGCAAAGAGCTCCCTTCCCCTTACTGGGTGGACAGCCTTTGGTGCTGCCGCAGAGAGAATAAGTATTCACTTTGAAAAGGTACAAGTTCCCTACTACCTCATTGTGGTGAAACAACTTGGGTGGTTGTTTCAGAGGGATAAGGACCTCCTGGAAAGAGTGCAAGAGCCCCATCCCTCACTAAGGTTAAGCACCTTTGGGTGGTCTGCTTCAGAGATGAGCAAAAGGGTTCCAAACAATGGATGTCCTGTAGGAAGGAAAGTCTGTCTCTCCCTCAGGGGTGTGCACCTACCACGTCTTTTGCCGTGCGTGGCAGCCTTGTGCGCTGTGGAGAATGTAGTCCTGGAGGTTGAGCGATGCCGTGAATGAGTATTCCCTGTCAGCTAACAACACGCCTCTTTGGTCCTCTAGTCAGCAAGACAGCGGCCTGGGATCCGCCGGGTCCGGTCAACCGGCTGTCTCCCTCGGAGGCTATGGTCAAGCGTCGATGCCGCCATTGGCACTCACAATGGTCCGTGGCGCCGTTACAAAATGGTTATTTGGCTGTGTATATCTGCCTCTGACACTCACTTCCGCGTTGGACTCCCGGTGGGTGGAGGCGTGAGAGGATGAAGCAACTGTCAATACATGAAAAAAAATGCAAAATCCCCGAAACACAAGACTGATCTTAATGTTGACGCCCCATGCAAGCCGGCCACGGCACGCTGCTGCCATGATGGTCAAGACAGAAACCATCAAAAAAAAAAAAGACCAATCCGAAAACGAAAGAACTGAAAGATGGGAGAAAAGTGCGTCTTTCCCCGTTACTTGACTTCTCAGTTTCCTATGTTTGGAACTGATCACATCACAATCCACAGGTCGTGGAGCTCCCGAATGACAAAGGGAAGACTCTAACCAGGTAAGTTCTGGTGACTATGACAAAGTGTGCCTCAAACCACTACCCTCGTTCCTCCTCATTCCCACACGTGATCGATCAAGCGCGAGAGGCCTAAACCCGCCGCCCGGCCTGAGCGATCTGTGACATAATACTGATCATAATAATAATAATGATAATATATAATAATAATAATAATAATAATATAATGAGAACAATAATGATAATAATACTGATAATGATAATGATACTGACAATGACAATTGACCATGATCAATGACAATGACAAGACAAAACAATGACAATGACCATACAATGACAATGACAATGACAATGAAGATGATAATGATAATAATAACGTAACGATAACGATAGTATAGATAATGATAATGTAATGGTAATGTTAATTATAATGATAATGATAATGATAATGATAATAATATTAATATCATAATAATAATCACAATAATATAATACTATTAGTAATGAATAATAATGAATAATAATAATGATAATAATAATAATAACAATTATGATGAAAAATAATAATGATGATGATGATAATAATAATAATAATAAAAATAATAATAATAATAATAAAAATAATAATAATAATAATAATAATAACAATAATAATAATGATAATGATACCGAGATAATAACAAGAATGTTAATAGAATAATAAAAATTATCTAGTAATGATACAAGCTACCAAACAATGGTAATGAGAAATGTGATAATCTATATTAATGTTTATTATAATCATATAACACTGATAATAATCACAAGTAATAATGATAATATTATAATGATGAGGATGATATGATGATGATCATGATATAATAATAATAATAAAAAAAGTAATGATGATGATAATTAAAAATAATGATAATAATATAATAATAATAATATATAATACTAACAATAATAGTAATTATGTGAATAATGAATGGAAATGATATGATAATATATGATAATGAAATGATATAAAATAATGATAATGTTAATAATACCACAATAATAATGTTATAGGCGATGATACCAAGTATGATAATACTATTCTAAACATGATAATCATTAAAAAAGTAAAGACAACAGGAACCAGAACAGTAATATTGATAATAGTGATAAAGATATTGATGAAAATGACAAATGCAAATCATTTACCGACAGACATAGACCCAGGTCCACATGACGTCAGGTGCGATTAAAGTGGTATTTAATCTTTACTTTTTTATTTATAGCTCGGGAATTTTTACGAGCCACCAGACGACCACTAGTCCATGTCTGGTAAAATTATCTGTAAACTTTCCTTGTAGATATTATTATCTTTGGATAAGAAATATATCGTGAAAGTGTAGCAACCTGTTTTTTTTTTTGCAACTCAGTAAATACTTTTCTTTATTAGATTCATAACTTTCTATGTACAAGACACTGACAGTATATATAATGTTGAGTTTACTTTATAGGGGGAGATCTAAGGTAAATAGAAAATTATCTATACAATAAACTGAAAATCAAGTCCAGCAATATCGTTTTTTCAATATAACGAATGGGGATTAGATGGCCCTATTACTACCCAATAAAATTGAAATAAGGTTACTTAGAGACACCGCTTATGAAGTCCACTATCGAGCCATTATCACTATTGTGATAACCTGTCCACAAACACCACTATCGTATGGCGTGATGTTACCTAGTAACTTATCACTCAGA